CTCCCTTGCAGTTGCAAACATCCTCTGGTCAACACTGAGCTTCTTTCCCTTATCCTCCATAACCTATGATCTGTTGATGCTGAGTAGGAGGACAAAGAGGGGCTTGTGAATGCTGCTTGGTCAAAGCGTCCATCATTAGTGGGCTATTCCTCATGGTGTCCATTTATTCCACAGCTCCTGCAGAATTAAAATCGGACAGCCTCAGGCCTGTCCTAATAGCCCCGCATCACAAGACTGTCTAATGGTTTCTCTGTCTTTAAGGTATCTGTCTTTGTGGACCTCTGCATTATTTTCACAGTGCTGTAAGCAAAAGTCAGCACCATCTGACACACAAATGAATCCCTGGCATTCCTCAACACCTGTGCCTCTATGTTATTTAAAGCACTCAGGGCTCTGCACCAAGCACCAGCCACCAGCTATTTGCTTGTACGTGTCAAGTGTGTGTATGTGTGTGTAAGTATTCTAGGATGAACTTGTTCTCAATAATGTAGAGGCTATGAGCAACAGCTATGCACAGAGAAATAGCAAAAACGAGTTGAAAACCATTTTTTTCAGACATAAAAGAGGAATTGATATATCTTTTGGGGAAAACTGCAGTAAGTCAAAAAGGTATTTAATGTCTTTTAGGGTTTTTTTTTGCACATGAATACAAATAACCTTATTTCTTTTAGAATTAATTATTATTTTTTTAATAGTAGAGATGAAAAATCGGTTCTTTCTATACCCTTCTTTGGATATTTTTGAATATATTCTCCCAAAAAATTAATTTCTGCTAAAACCCACTGCAAAGACTATAGGACTTGTATTATCTGCTCTCCCTTTCAGCAAACCAAAGATTTATAAATTATGTTGGTCTTTGTCATTTAAAAAATAAATCTATTTAATTTTAATAAATGTTCAATTTCATATGTCAATACCTTTATGGAGCTGAATAAAAACTAAACGATCAATGTGCCAAGGTTAAAAAAGTGACACCTGTATGGGTTCCAGGTTGGTGAAATTCATTTAAAAGACCACCCTTGTTTCTTCATTTTTTTTATTCCGAGAATATATGACCCAGAGAATATAATGAAAAAAGAAAAAGGTGTATTAGTTTTATACATGACTGTTATTTTGTTCTTGTTCCTCACCTTGACAACACAGGATTAGGCTTAAATTTAAAGGGCTGTTTGTCAAGCAGGAATATAATGGTGATCCCCAGCTGTTAAAGTGCAAGACCACAGTTGCACTTAAAAATCCATCTTTAGTTCTTCTAAAAAACAGGAGGTAACGTCACTTTTTCTGGGCTCTTGAAGGTACAAACGGATGAAGCAGCTATAGAAATTCAAACGTAACATAAATATATCTTGGCAGATTTAGATTTTAACAATCTTTTTGATTATTCCCTTTAAACCAAAAAGATGTACCTGGCAAAAAAAGACACAAAGATCTCTTAACAGAAAACATATAGATATAAAAGCTCAAATAGTCATTTTTCTATGGTGCATTTAAAAAGCAACAATGCTTATTTGAATTTGTCAACAACCAGGAGGTACCATAGACAACAAAAATATGATAAAAGCAAAAAAGGTAGAACTCTTACACTTGTAAGAGTTTCTACTGCAAATGTAAGAGTTTATACTGTGTCAATGGCCAAGGAAATATGTTTTTAACTAAAAGGATTTTGTTGAGAAGGCAGCATGACGGAAGCATATGGGATTCTACAATCTTGGGTTGGTCCACAGCAAATGTCTAGTCAGCTTAATGTCCTAACTTTGATCACCAAACATTGAGGAGAATATTACTAGTGTCATTAAAGGTGTATCCATTTTAATAAGATCTTGAAAACAGAATGGTACTAGAATATTTCACACTCTAAAGAATGGCAGGGGTGTCTAATAATTTTGATTCTGTTTAAATCTGTTTTATCCAAAACTAGTTCCAGAAAACACCTTAGTACGATATGTTAAAAACGGTACATTTAAACACCATACCCCTCTAAGTGCTGTCTGGCTTTTCACATTCCTAATGATATTATAACAATTTATATATACATATTTAAAGCATTATCATGTCTTGAGTTAAATGATATTGTACAGTTTGCATGTTTTCATTTAGTCAAACTTAACAGTTGGCTTACAAAGGTTAAAAGTGTAGTTATAATTAGTTATTGTTTGCGCTTTTGACTTCTGTGTACATTTGCTAGTCTCCTGTAGAGAACATGTATTTGGTCCATTTGAAACATGCCAGCTAACTTCCTAAAAGGTCTTTTATTCAAGTATTATCTGTTATTTTTCTGAAAGAGGTGGGGGTAATTACAGTTAATTAACTATTGGGCACAGTATCTACATGCTAATGGGCATGTTATAACATCAAGAAAATTGGAAAGAATCATGCATCATTGATACTCACCAGTCTGCTCTTAAATAAGCAAAATAAGACATAAATACACCAAATACCAATGTTGCATTCAGATATACTCTGATTCATGAACCTTTCATGTTCCATTATTTCCCAAATAATGTGAATTTGGGGAAAGGCCATCAGTGACATCATGATTGGGATGCTTTCATTGTAGACATTTATCTACCAATACAAAAAAAAAAAAAATCCAAATGTCACATAAATGGCAGGTCTGTAAGTAGTTTCTGTGCTCCTCACTGCACATCCTGAACATGATCACAGCCTTTCCTGTCTTTGCATCTCCTTTCTCTAACAGCTCCTAAGATTTGGCTTTGGCAATCTTTATTAAAGGAATTATTACCACCTCCATTTTGATATAACGCATGCACACTTGTTTAATGTCTTTCATTTAGAAACAGAATGGAACGTACAGGGCTGGTACATATCCTAAGTACTGAATCATGCATGCCAGTTGGGGGACTATGTTGAATAGATCTGATGAGAAACAATCTGGTCTGTTAAACTAAAGTAAAACCAAATGAGCCAAACTGGATGTTAACTTTGTGTGGCAAGTACCCATATTTACATCATATCAATGTTGTCTAAATATGGTGGCATATTTTTGTTTAATTAGCTATAAAATGAGAAAGACATGGTATTTACAATGTAGGAGTCAAACAATCTAAAACAAACTTCCTTTTTATAGTTTATGAATTACACAATCAAGATCATTTAACTTATATAAAAAAAACCTTCAACACTGTAAAAATGCTAATAAATGCTATAATTGGTTAATATATTCCCACTTTTAAAACCATATTTTCACTCTTGGTTTAGTTTGGCAAAGAAAACATATTTATTACCTGTTTGATGTTTTTGTTTTTACACCATGCATATAACCTTTTGTAGCTGTTACATGAGCATAACTCTCACAATACATTTCTTGTATGAATGATTTATGTATGTCTCATTATTATTCCTAACTCAAGATTGAATGAAGAAATATAGTGCAGTATTTGGCCCTAAAGGATTTCTTGTGTTTTATCTTTTTTGTCACACCTAACTAGTTTAGGTTACCAGACAAATTAAAATGTTAAAGCAAAGTAACCCTAGTAGATCCAAAAAGTGGTATTCTTACATTTAGATTATCAAAAGAAAAAGATTTTAAAACCACCAAAACCCTATGCAAAAGTAATTACCCCATCAAGTTACAAATTTGTAACTACCAGTTTATCCCAACCTTGGGTGCAAAACCATTGTTTATTTACAAAAGCAGGTATTGAGTTTTTAGCCTGCCTTTCTTTGCAGAATTTATTTAAACAACCACAATAGGGAGCTTTTCAGCATGAACTAGCTATTTAATAATACGCCATGGCATTTGTCGGATTTATGTCCACACTTTGACCAGGTCAATCCAAAGCCTTTTTTTTTGCCTTTTTAAAACTCTTACTTTCTGTCATTGACACATGGAGTTCAGGATTTTCTACTCCTTAATTATAACAGGTCTAAACTAAAGCAACCTTATACTGTCATACCAGTATGTCAGACTATATTTCCCCGCGTCTCCTGGGGGCTCCGGCATTGCGGTGGCTCCCTGGCGCCTTCGCTCTTGGGGTCCCTTTGGGCGTCTGAGGCTTTGGGTCTCCCAGCACTGGACTTGGTGCTCAGGGGGGGGGGCGCCTCTTCGGCTCTTCACAAACACTATTGAGCATTCTTTCTTTGAATAAACTTTACATGCACAAGTGCACTCTCACAAACAACTACAGGTGCTTGGTTCCAGGTACTTACAGATTCACTTCCATAAAGAAAGCCAATATTCTTATCTTCAGGTAACACAGAATACATGTCAGATTATATAATACTACTTATATTTTAGCGATAGTATCTAGGTGTTACTTTATTGTATGTCCGTTGGTTGTGCTGTTCTTTTTACATCTCTTTGCAGTTGATGAAGCAGACTGAAAATGTTTTATCGTTATCTCCTTTTCATCTCCTCTTTCTTTCATCTTTTCTCCTTTTTTCTGTTGTTCCTTTCCTGTTCTACTTACATTGCAGTGTCCATATAATCTGCAAAACTCCCTGCATAATAACAATAAAGCAATTTATATGCATAAATCAAGCGGAACACTATAGCGATAGCCGTACTGCTCCACTTGTGAAAGTAAAATCTGTTGGGCTCTTTTTGGCATCAAGACAATTGTTCTTATTGCCACATCGCCATACAGGACACTGAAAAAAAAAAAAAAAAGACTGTATTTCCCTTTTCTGAAATCAGTTTTTGTTGCTTTAATTAAACATGGATACTAATACAGTATATCTTACAAAAAATGACTAAATTTACTGTTTTTTTTTTGCTTTGTTTTTAAATGGAGCCTTATTTTCTCCAAGTTCTTGTTTGTCATTTTATTATATGGCCTTTTCTTAAAGGGTAAGTGGAGCCTTATCAAGTCCTGGCAATCCTAAACACTTTATGCAACAGTCATTTACCTACAGTATTCACACATTTGAACTAATTTAATTAAAATACTCTGCTCTGTATGTAAACTTAATAGGTATAATTGTGTGTCCTAAGGCTTTAAGTAGTGTTATTTAAAATGAATTTTGACCTTTTTTTTCAGATGGACCCCTGGGACCACGTGGGCTTGTGGAAGCTACAGAGATGTGCACACAGGAGTGCCTTGTCCTCGGACATTCAGACAACTGTTGGATGCCTCCCACGTTAGGATCATACCAGCAGCCTAAGTCGCCTGTGTCCAGCTTTGGCTCTCAGCGGGAATGGGGTCAGAAGGACAAACTTCTCAATGGACACACTCTGTCAAGAACCTGGAAAAATGAAAGTGGACGGTCAGAGCATTTTGGCGACAGGAAGCAGTTTGGGAGTGGGGAAGGACATTTCACCTGCAGCAGCAGAGCTGACATTCCTTTGGTGAGTCTGAAGTCTTGCCAATCAGCATCCTGCCCAGACAGTCCAAAAGACCAGCAGCTATAAAAGAGACTTTCCTTTGCTGCTACAAATCTTTAAGTTTGGACAAACTAAGCAGGTGAGGTCTCTCATCTGGCTTCACCGTGAATTTCATTGGTTTATTTGTTGTCTCAATTTTTCCAACTTAAGTTGATGCTTCTGCAGTCTAATAACCACATGTATTGTGTAGGATACAAAATAGTGCTAATGCGAGTTCTCCACATAAAAATGGTTCTACTACTCCACAATAAGCCTTTTTTGCCAGGATTCTCCCCAAATAACCTTTTCCGTCCACTTCTTTTGGGGACACTGAATGAAGGACTTACATAAAACTGAAAAAGAGGGAAAAAAACAACTGGCAGGCCAATATATACAAATATTTGTGGTGTGATGTTATTGAGCTGTTTGGGACTATATTAATCAACACAATCAAAGAAAAATGTGATTATGTTTCAAGAAAATGTTGTTCTTATATCACTTGTTTGTGGACACTTGCTTATTCTGTCATTGTCTCTGTGTTTGTAAATAATACTTATTAACCCCAACCATGTACCTGTAATATTCACAGTTAGTAGGACAGTTTTTGGCAGTTCTTTTGTCATCAAAATTAGTTCATCAGGATTTGAGAATTTCAGCTGGACAAAGATCTAAAATATGACATTTTGTCCAAAAGGAAAGCATCCATCTCAAATTTTGTTTCTCTTGATTTTAATTAAAAAAAAGAAACTCTAGACACATAATTTATTGTCACCTTATCAATTCTATTCAAGTGCTGCAAAACCTGAAAGGTAAATCTGTTTTAATTTCTTCTTAGAAAAACAAAAGAAACAAAAAAAAAAAGCTTTATGAAGGATGTCAGTGCTCAACATGTGCATTACAAAGCAGAAAAGCTCCAAAAGCTCTCTGATTTTGAAAGTGTTTAGTAAACATAAATAGCAATATATTTGTAAATCGCTAAATGTTTTAACTAAGGATGATCTTATTGTATAGATTTTCTTCAATTTGTGATTTCACTGAGAGCAATATCTCAGTAGTACCTGCAATCTATTGACCTATTTATGTAAATATACATATATATGTATTATTTCCACAGACTATTATTTTCCATACATAAGAAGGACACAGGTTATGATAACACTTTAATCACTGTGCCTTCATAATGTTTCTTCAAACACTTAAATGTTCTATTTAAATGACATGTTGGCAACAGAAAATGTCCAGTCTGAAAATTAAATGCCTTATGCATTAAGTGTTTGCCAAATTTAAGGAAATAACCACACTAATTTAAAAGTGTAAGCTCAAAGTCACCAAACAAGGACAAAAAAAAAGGCATGGACAGTCTGTGTGTCAATCATGAAAGATTAATTTTCATTTCACCATCTGAAAAGGTTGGTTTTCACAGCATGGGCGGCAAATACACAACGGAAAAGCATGCAAAAAGATATAACTTGTACAATTTTTCATTTTTGTCTTTCCTTTTACTATTTGAGATTGGGGTGATGGGTAGAGTTGATTTTGTGCATTAAGAGTAATTCTGTTTGTAAAGCACTTTCACGTTTATGTCACAATATGAAACTATTAAGTGGGATGGAGTGATTTGCTTATTGCAGTATGTTTATTAGTTGTGAGGGTGTTTACCATCACCCATACAGAAACAGTTAATCCTTGTTACTTCACAGGTATACAGCTAATGCAATAAATGTTTTAATTATGTGTATGCTTTTTTTGCGTACAAAATGACAACATCAGGAAATCTGTGTCCTTTTTGTGAATAAATACCCACATAAACCATGGACTTTTATTTAATGAAATTCGGGCTTTAATATTGAACATCTTTCTGCCTAATTAGAGTAATTTCATTTCCCTAAAAAACTGGAAAATCATCCTAATTATCTCTCTTTTACTACTTGACACATTTTCTCTGTAAACACATTTACTTATGAACAAAGCAGAAACAGACTTGTTAAAATATCCTCCAAGAAAGTCTTTCTCCACAAACCGTTGCTCTATTTTCCATCTTGCATCCTTATAGAAAATAAAAGCCTCTTAAAAATAATACTTTCAGGGTCACCATGGTACAAACAGACAGCTATAAGAAATCCTAATAGACATAACCCAATGAATTTTCCTTTACAAGGTAACCATGGAAATAGAGTTTGACCCTTCACAGAAAAATTCACATTATAAAATGAGTTGTATTTTTATGGTGTAATTTCATCCCAATTACAGAATATTTAAAATATGTGGAATTATATGTTATCTCATACAGGTTCTCATTTTTTCTTAAAACTTAAATAGAGGAGAAATTATTTTTTTTCATTACTCCACAGAGGACCACTTGAGCTTTTCTCTTTAAAGTATAAACTGGATGGTATTGAAAGCAGCAGAAATAACAAAGGATAGAAAAAACCCTCATAATACACCTAGCTTCTCCAGGTGGGTCAGGAAACTAGGGTCAACATAGGTGAATACAACATCAGACATGTGTACAGTATTTTGTTACTTAGCATTCCTCTTCTGAATTTCTTTAATAATGGCTTCAGGAATCATTTAAAAATAGCACTGGTGATAAATAAATAAATCAGTCATTAATATTTGTTTTTTACAGTGAAAATCAGTAAAAGCTTTTCATGATTGTCATTGTACTTAATTTACATTTTTTTCATTTGAAATCTTAAGCGTCAGTTCCATGTCACATTAAACACCCTTGAGTCACTTCCATATCCTAGATTTGTATGCAGATTATTTATTTTCCTCTCATTTTATTCTTGATGTATTTTAAACACACTAACTTAGAAAACATTAAAGGACAAACATACTAAGCATTTTCTTTTTGTTTATGCAAGATAATATATTTCAAAGCAGGGTATTGAAAAAAACTACGATGGTGTCATTGTTTTTCAATGACTGTATTACAACGACCTCAAACAAATGGAAGCATCTTAAAGTAAATCATTTACTAATTATACAGACTGTCATCTATGAATGCAAGTAGGTATACACCTTTTTATTCTAAAAAATACAAGACTCAAAAAGCATATATTTAAAGCTCAAAGTTGAAAATAAACATGCCAATCTTTCCATTAACTTTCCATTAGCATACTGACATGGTGTATTTGAAAATGGTGTATTTAAAAATACATCAATTCTTATAGGCTGCACAGGGAAGCAGTGGGTAGCTCTGCTGCCCCGGACTAAGAAGGTTTTGGGTTTGATACCCTTTCTGCATGGATTTCGCATGTTCTCCCTGTGCATGCCTGAGTTCTCTCTGGGTACCTTGGCTTCCTCCCAAAGTCTAAAAACATGACTGTTAGGTTAATATGCCTCTCTAAATTCTCCTTATGTGTCAGTGTGTGTGTGTGTGTGTGTGTGTGTGTGTGTGTGTGTGTGTGTGTGTGTGTGTGTGTGTGTGTGTGTGTGTGTGTGTGTATGTGTGGGAGTGGGTGTGTGTGTTTGAATGTATGGTTGATCATCTCTGTTTGTCTCTGTGTTGCCCTGCAAGGCACTGATGACCTGTCCAGGGTGGACCCCACCTCTCGCCCATTGACAGTTGGAGATAGGCACCAGCACCCCTCATGACCCCAGCAGGGATAAGCGTGACGGAAAATGGATAAATTGATTGATTATTACCTCACAATATATAAAAGCAATTAATTAAACAGTGGCTTTGTGATAGAAGGTATCTATGATTTTCACCATTCATAGATTAATGATCCCATGAGTCCATCACCAAAACCTCCCAACCATAATGGGTTTTTGAATGGCAGAATCACTACATTGGGCAGTTTGAGAAATTTTTAAACATGTATTAAATATTACATGGTGTAACTTATTTTGCTTTTAATTAGCAAAAATCAAGTACTGTCTTTATAAGTACATGTTCTTCCAAAGTCTGATTTTAAATTAATAAATTCTCGTATCTTTGAATTAGGAGTTGATAAATACATATATCTAGGTCTATGCACTGGAGGGCGTCATATTGGGTCATCTCTATTTGACTATAGTTGCTGAAACAAGAGACAGCCAATGCATTTTACATTTCTGTGATGAACCAGGATAAAACAAGAGTCTATATCGGAGTAGCTTTGATTGGCAAAAATTCATGAAGAACCTGGCCCCAAAGTGGACACAGAGGTTGTGAGTTTTCTGCTGGACAGGTAAGTTAATGCTATATCACAGAAAATGTATTTCTGCCTCATGTTAGAAACAGCTCAGTGGGCAAACAACTACTCTGTCTTCCCGGCAGCCTTATTTCCCAAGGTGTGTTTTCATGCATTTCATCATTTAACTCCTTAGGCAAAGGTGTGCAAAAAAGATGTTAAAAACACTTTTTAAAACTGGAACATGTAAAATAAATAGAAAAAATCCCTTCTTTTAGGAATATTTGGTTGCATTATGTTTTTTACTCTTAAATAGTCACTTGTATTGACTAACATAAACAATCAACAAAACCACAATATTATCATAATATTCCATACCATATGGTCTCAATAGATGTTCAAGGTGTGAGGAGATGCTTGGGATCCTGGGCTCTTATGGTTTGTAAAACAATATTCACCAATGAAGAATGAAACAAACAGAATCCAGTGGAGGGGGAACAAAAGAAAATAAGTAAATGAAGCTTCACTTAGAACTAAACAGAAACCTAAAATAGTAGCATGAATAAGGCAAAAAACAAGTTTCTCTGGCCTAAAGCTTGGGGTTAAACATAGGATGTGAAACAATGAAAGTCGCATGAAAAAATTTGTGATTTAAACTTGAGAAATGAAAATGATTCACATTTAACTCTATACAACCACTATAGACACCTATAACAAAATGCTGGAGACAGCCTTAGCTGGATGTAAACTGAAATTATTCCTCAGTTTGGGTGAAGTAAATGTGCTTCAGTCTATGTGAAGAGGAGCATCACACTTCTTGTCCTCATCAAAAAGCCACTCATCTTATCAGAACAAAAGGTGGCGAATCAGCATATTATTTTCCAACAAATCAGATGTAAGGCAAGGCAATTTTATTTGTTTAGCACGATTCAGTACATGGACAATTTAAAGTGCTTTACATAAATTAGAGAGTAATTTAGAAGAAAAATAAAAGCAGAATAAAAGCAAAAAGATTTGTAAAACAAATAAATCAACCGGACCATAAACAAGCAGAACAACATGAAGTAAAAAGAAGATGATAAAGAAAGGAAAACAGTTGGGTCAGAACCTTAAACTAATACCCCAGTTAGCAGTTTAACTTCAATGGTCAAACGTAGCTCTAAACTCATGTATTTATTTTTTTAACTTTGGCTTTCAGCCCTTTTACAGTGTTCTGGGAGTTTTTTTTTAGATCAGTGGAACATAGGAACTAAATCCTGCTTCTCCATTCTTGGTTCTACTTCTGGATATACAGAGTAGGCTTGAACTAGAGGACCTAAGTTGTCTGGGAGGTTGATACAATGACAACAAACCTGTTATGTGTTGAGGTGCTGATTCAGTCAGTGATTTATAGACTAACAGAAGGATTTTAAAGTCTATTCTCTGAGCTACAGGGAGCCAGTGGAAGGACTTTAGAACCGGGCTGAGGTGCTCTACTTTCTTAGTTCTAGTGAGAACATAGGCAGCAGCATTTGGATCAGCTGTCTGGTGGACTTTTTAGGCAAACATATAAAGATGCACATAAAGTTGCAGTGATCAATTCTACTAAAGATAAATGCATAAACGAGTTTCCTTTGCTCCTTGGACATTAGTCCTTTAATCCTGTAAATGTTCTTCAGATTATAAACCTGACCTGGTAACTGCCTCTGAACGCTCAGGTCTGAGTCCATCATTACACCAAGATTTCAAACATAATCATTGGTTTCTAGCTCTAATAGCTGAAGCTGTGAGCTACTGTAGCTCTGGATCTTTCCTCTATGGTCCATCCACATATTGATCTGTTCTAAGAATCTAGCAAACGCTCTGATGGGTTAATAGTCACCTGGTGACATTGTGACGTAAAGCTGTGTATCGCCTGCATAGTCATGATAACTGATCATAACAATTGAAATTTATAGATCTGACATTGGCGAAATTTATCTATCCATTTAACCCATTCCCTTAGGGAGCATTTGGCTGCCTTCATGGAGCATCCGGGGAGCAATTAAGGGTCTTGCTCAGAGGGCCTGAGTGGCTGTCTATGGTAGTAAGTTTCAAACTCATGACTTAAGTATTCCAAGCTCTGTGCCCTAACCACTAAGCTTGTTGTCTGGTATAATCTGAGCCAAGGTGAGCAAGTAGATGTTGAATAGGAGTAGTCCCAGAGCGGAGCCTTGAGGAACCCCACATGTGATTTTTCTGGTCCCTATTGACACATAGAAGTCCCTGTCCTTTAGGTAGGATTTAAACCATTACAGTGGTGTACCAGAAAGGCCGACAAAGTTTTCCAGATGGTCTGATAAAATCGAGTGATCAAACAGTAACAAACCCTGCACTGAGGTCCAGTTATACCAACACAGTGGTTCTTTCAGAGTCTGAATTTATTTGGATGTCATTTAAACAGCTTATTCAGTGGAGTCTCTGTACTGTTGGCATGGAGTGAATATTATTCACACACGTTAATAAATCACAGAGCATTTCATGTGTAATTGTCTTTGGATAGCAGTCTAGGCATTTTTCCAGTGTCACAGAAATGCACTTAGGCACCATACTTTGATGTGTCTGTTGAAGAACCAACTACCCCTCTGTGCAACATGAGGTTTTTCTTCAGAAGGAGGTTTGAGAGCTTTTGGCCTGGTGGCTGGTCTGCTGCTCTCTGT